GAAGGATCTTTGAATTGTGGGTGTTTTGGAAAATGAAATTAAATTCGAGAAACTTGAGACCCAAAAATGGAAGAAGGCATTTTTTTTTTTTGCATAAGAATTTATAATGAACATGTGTGTGCGCATTTTATATAGGCAGCGATTAGAAGTTGGATCAAAAAATTTCTGGGTTCTAATTCGGGGCTTTCTAAGGTTTTGAGGGTTTGGGAGGTTTTGAGCGTATTAATTACGGGGTAAAAAGTTTAATTAGTTTTAGGGGTATTATTCTAATTTATTTGTTTTGGAGGGTATTCAGCCTAATTAACCCTCTAAATAATAGTTGGGCTTCGCAATGGGTAACGCCCTAACAAGTTTTGTCATTATGGTCCATATTCAGGAGCCCAATAAAACGTAAAAGAAAACTTTATAAAAAAGTGGAGATGCGGGGTATCGATCCCCGTACCTCTCGCATGCTAAGCGAGCGCTCTACCATCTGAGCTACATCCCCATTCGACAAAGCTACATCACATTTGTTAATACAATTAATAAACATTTCTCATTTTATCAAGTCACTTCTAATTAAGGGAAGAAGAACAACACAGCAATCACAACCTTCTTAAACATGAAACTTAAAAATTAGAATTTACAAAATACATATAAATTTCAAGAAAGTCATTCAGTTAACCTTCAAATGAGGCTCAACCTCAATCCTCGCAACTCCTTCCTCCGCCACCTTAGCCACCTCAACTTCGCTAACTACCAAATTTTCCTCATCCTCACCCTCCGCCCCTACTTCTTCCACATAGTTCGGATCCTTCTCATCTATAGCAGGCGGCGCCGCCTCCAGCTCCACCTCTTTCTCCGGACCTTCCCACGTGTACTTTCCTCCATGCCCTTTCTTGGGATCATGCTTCAATGGCAGCCCATCCGCCGGGTGGCGCTCTTGCCTTTGCACGCCCTTGTCAATAAGTTTTCTTTCAACGTATTTTACTGTGTCCACACTGTGTGCGGGTAACTCCACTTTCTCGACGTGCTTTCTGCCTTCATCTGCTCGGCACTCTGCCCGGATTGTCACCTTCTCTTTCTTTTCATCAATTGCTGGCTTCATTTTGTCGATTCAAGCAGTTTATTTCTTTCAATTGGGAATTCTTATGAATTGATGAGCGTAGATGCACGCTGAGTTTATTATATAGGGTTAAGTAAGATGTTGGAAGGGGCTGGAAAAGTGTGGGTAAGATGATGCTAGAAGTTTCTCATGACTGCCTTATCAGTTTATCTTTCAGGTGTGTTTGATGGATATTATTGAGAAAAAAATATATTTTAAATAATGATNGATGGATATTATTGAGAAAAAAATATATTTTAAATAATGATGATAAGAAATATATGATTAAAAAGTAAGAAAAAATTATTGATGTGATAAAAAATATTATTTTATTAAAAAATGTATGATTGAAAATGAATTTTAAAAGAATGTATTTCGATAAAATATGTGTCTGAGCTTAAAATAACAATTAATAATTAATAGCAGAAAGCATGTTAAACATCGACACGTCGATCTTTGTTCTTATAATACTAAGAGTAATAGAATAATGTTGAGTGTACACCAAATTTCACAGTACTCTCACAGATGGGGTGAGAGTGAGACCATTGATTTTTAAAATTGCGGCCCCGCCCTCTTGTGAGAGGAGTGTCACCCATGAGGTACACCAAGTGTGTACATTTAGCATTACTCAGAATAATATTTGGTATACAGATTCTATTCGATTTTTTATTTTTTATTTTTTTAATACTTTTGAGTGTATCTAATCCTACCTAGACCCTGTTTGGTATAGATTAAAATCGAATTTTTAATAGATTTTGATAAAAGTTAATGAAATATGTGATTGAAAAATTGTGAATCCCATGAAAAGTGTGGTTAAAATAATATGTTGACTTTGATTTGAGATTAAAATCAGATTTTAATCCAAATCAAACATGTACTTATTGCAAGTTGTATTTGTTATACGACTGTAAAATTAGTGTTGATTAATAATTTTATTCTCAAATAAAAGAAGAAATTTTTTTTCAAGAAATATTGCATAGCTATTTTAATCTTTCATTTTTTATTGAAAAAATCAGACAATGCATTAGTTCATGCATCACGAAAATAATTCTATACTGTAAAGTTTGTAAATAATGTTAGATGAGTTATACTACATGTACAAAGTTGTGTTATAAAGTTTGTTGACAAAATAACACCTATACCAATCATTTTAAAAACAAAATTTTAAATTATTTGAAATCAACGGTCTGAATTTTGCTAACACAGTTTGTAAACCAACTTTTGTAACTCAACTTTATACAAATAGATTTGTTGATGTTAGATAGCATTCGTTGGAGCAAATTTATTTGTACCTGTGTTTGAATGTGGTTAACTGTTCCTTTTTTTTTTTGTTTTTTTCTCAATGTAGTTCTTGGGGGATGACCTTAAATATAAAATATTAAAAAAATTAGTTAGATAACATTTAAATGTGTCTAAGTACTAAATACAATTCTACTATTTATATGTACCATGCAATAATTAAAATTAAAGAGTTAAATGTTAAAAAAATGTTATCTTCTTTCATTAAGTTCTTGATTTATAGTCCAAAACTCGATTTTTGCACAAGTGTTAATTTTGCACCATTTTACAGTTGTCTTCCAAAATTTAACCATGCCCTTTGCAAAGGAGTATGACTTGCCTCCGTCCTTCAATTCGAACTCAATAATGTATATTTCAATCACCTCGCTCAATTTTTGAGCAAACAATTAAGTCGTAGTGTAGCATGTTAATTCCATCTTTTTTTAATGCAGTTAAATTTGGTTTGTCCCATTATAATTAATTTCTGTCTCTTCGTGCTCCTCTCCTTATGTTGTTGGTTCCTCGAATTGTTGGGTGTGCATCATCCAAACTTACTTGAGCTGACAACTTTTTACTTGCACTGCGAAGAAATTGCATTCCAGCAAAGGCATCATCTTCACCAACTTCATCAAGTGTATCGAATCCCTCATTTTAAAGTGTGGTATGGCGGAAATTTTTCCATAGGTATGTCGTCTTCATCAATTTTGAAATCTTCCATGTCACATCGTTGTCCAGAATTGTGACAAAAGGATCATGTGATTTCGCAGGTGTACGGATTGTGATAAGTAAGAAAATAGATGTTTAAGTTCGAATATCACCCCACAAAAACTAAGAGTCTGTCTGGTGGTCATTTTGGGCCAATTTTAATCAATAAAGTGACCATTAGTAGGGCCCGCACCAGTCATGGCCGATCAAACATTGAGGCTGATGTGATCCGCAACGGTAGGAAGAACAATTATTTTGGCCAATTTCTTTGATACCAGACAGGCCCTAAGTATTTATATCAAAATTATCCTAAATTTAGTTTCAGCCTAAATTAATTTGGTAACCATCTAACGATTCAAGAGTTTCAAATCTAACTAATTTATACTAAATTAATCTAATCTATTAAAGATTGATGAGTTTGTGAAGAACTTTTGAGATTAAGCGATTAAAATTTTTGATTTCACTTAAACTATTGAATATTTTATTCAATCAAATATCATTTGACCCATTTTTCATATGTACTAACAATCGAATTAATCAATTTTAGTTAGTATTCTCTTTCGAACAAAACGAACCACATTCACATGATCGGAGCAAAATGTTAACTTAGGGGGTGTTTGGTAGTGATTTGAGAATTGATTCTCAAATCAATTCTCATTTTCAACCACACATTCTTCAATAAAATAATATTTTCCATCACATCAATAATTTTTTCTTCTTTTTCAACCACACATTTCCCATCATATCACTATTCAAAAATCACTTCTTCNACACATTTCTCATCATATCACTATTCAAAAATCAATTTTTTTTCTTCTTTTTTAAACTACACATTTCCCACCATATGACTATTTTCTAAGATAGTTGAACAATTAGGTCAATGTGGACTCAAGTTAATCGACGAGGAAGATAGTCGAATGATTAGTTGAATGATGAGGACAAAATTAACCAATTTAGGTGACGTTATGTTAGTATCACTTAAACTGTTGGTTTAACATCAACGGTATTAAATAACATTATAAAATTTTACTGGTATAGAAAATATATGAGTAAAGAAAAAGAAAATTTTCCCAAATTAATGTGCCAAAACAATTGTAACATTATTACATTTCCATTAAACTCTAATTAAGTAATAGAACAAGCATATGCCCCAAAAAAAATTCCCACGGCCACTCTCAAGTCCTCCCAAGTACCAAAATAAACAATGCCAATAAAAGTTAAAATTTCGCACAAAATTTCCAATTTATACATTCATACGGCGTCGTTAGTTCCACCGAGTTGCCACGTATACAGTATCCCACCGCACAAACGAATAATTTTCCCTCGATCGCTCCGAATTTTGGCGCGGTGATGCGACGTTTACGAACCTACACCCCTGCCTTCAACCTCTTCTTCACCTACTCTTTGTAACTCTTTTCTCTCAAGTGTGAAGAAACTCTCTCTCTCTCTCTCTCTCTCTCTCAATCCTTTGTGCAATTGGTAAAATGATGCTTGGGCACTCGAATACTATTGGAGATTGCTTGAATAATCGGTGAGTTTAAGTTGTCATCATTTATAGATTTTACTCTCTAGTCTCTGCATTGTTGTTTAGGGGTGTAATTATGGAGAATTCTGTAGAAGTTCACTCTCTTGCCGATAGTATCAGAAAGATATTGATTTTCTTCTGTTTAGACGATACGGTTATGCTTAAAACAAAGTCTCGTTATGCTAAAAAAGGAATTTTTTTATGGAAATGCTTATCCAAATAGTACCTAAATGAAGTGGCCGTAAAGATTATATACGTTTGTGACAGTGTAGCCTATCCATACTGTTCATGCGTCGACTTCCAAAATTAATTTATTTTCTTCTGATCCTTTTTTTTTTTTTGCGCGTGTGTGCGTGGTTTCGAAATTTATTCCTAATTTATCCGTTTTGCGAGATTTTATACAGATCAATGGATGGTATAGGTGAGTTAGGCGTTTATCAAATATGTGGGACGGGGAGCGAAACTTTAAAAGAGAATTGGTTTGGTAATATATGGAGAAGTTCTCGCAAGGGTAGAACATTGGATCCTCAGAAGCCTGTGATTGGAATTTTGGCATTTGAAGTCTCGAGGTTGATGTTGAAGGTGGTTAATATATGGCAATGTCTTGGTGATCAGCAGATTGTTAAATTGAGAGAGGAGATTGTAAACTCGATTGGCATTCAAAAACTAGTTTCCCGAGATAAGGACTATCTGATGGATCTTGTTCTTGCTGAGATATTTGAGAATCTGGTGAGTGTGGCGAAGTCAGTGGATATTCTGGGGAAGAAGTGCGAAGACCCACTATACAACAATCTTGAACGAGTATTTGATGATCCAGGCGAGATAGATCCCAAATGGATATGGTGGCAATACAGGCTCAAGAAGATGGAGAGGAAGGTTAAGAAAATGGAGAAGTTTATTGCGAGCACGGAGCAGTTGTATCAAGAGCTTGAAGAATTGGCAAAGCTCGAACAGAGTCTGAGGCAAATGAGGGCTGGTGTTGATATGGGCAGCCAAGAGAATTTATATTGGGTTCAGCGGAAGGTAGTGTTGCAACGTCTGGAAGTGAAGAATCTCCAGGAGACATCTCCTTGGGTTAGAACACATGACTATATTGTACGGCTGCTTTTGAGGTCTCTATTTACGATTCTTGAGAGGATCAAGCATCTACATAGAACAAACCAGATCGGAAAAATTGAGGACCATAGCAGTGATTCCCTTATACGTGGAAATTCTGTCTCAGCTCGGATGCAATTGTCAGTTTATACATCTGAAAACAAGTTGCATAGTTCATTTTCTGATCTGGCCCCGTCTGATGACAAGATTAGATCAAGGAATAAGCAGTTGCTTGTTCTTTCCCCATCATCCATCCATTCGGAGAAAAGTACTCAAATTAAAGGTAGACAATTAGCTCCCAATGGCTTCAAAGGACTGGCGACTGGTGGAAATAACTCGCCTGTTAAAGGGAGCTATACACATTCAAGCAGCGGCACTTTGGGGTCAAACGATACTTCTAACAAAGACACTAATGACAACATTGCAGTTCCAACTCGATACTGTGGCACAACTTCCACTAAACAATCTTTCTTCAATTCCAAGCGGAAGCTGTTAAATGCCCCTCCAGCTACTCTCGGTAATGCTGCTTTGGCTCTCCACTATGCAAATGTCATCCTAATAATCAAGAAGCTAGCTTCAGCTCCTGAATTGATCAGTGATGACTCGAGAGACGATCTTTACAATATGTTACCAACAAGTATCAGAAACCATCTGAGTGCAAAGCTCAAGGTATTTTCAAAATCCTCAGGTTCAATGACTTATGATGCCTCCTTTCGAGAGGAATCGAAGTTAGCACTGGCAAGAACACTGGAATGGTTGTCTCCACTTGCTCTTGACACAATAAGATGGCATTCTGTTCAGAACTTTGAAAGGCATAGAGTGATTTTTGGGTCAAACGTGCTTCTTGTTCAGACCCTTCACTTTGCGAAGCAAGTAAAGACGGAAGCAGCAATTTTCGAACTTCTCATGGGATTAAATTACCTCTCAAGATTTCGGAGAGAAATTAAAGAAAAAACCTCCCTACAGTCTTCTTGCAATCGAGCATGTGATGGTTATATTTTATCCAAGAGTAACATTTATTACAGCATGATTGATGATACATCGTTATAGATTTCTTATGTGCCGCAGAGTTTAATGAAGAGTTTTTGGTTGCGCATATCTTGTGTTTCATATGGATCCTCGATGACAAACTTGTTTGACATGAACTTTTTTTCGGTCGCATCAATCTAAATCTTTTTCTATGGCATGTTTGGTAAGCAATAGAAGATAGGATTAAAATTAGATCCTAATTTTATTTGCTTAAATGCTATCTAGTATTGTATAGTCCTACTAAATATGCCATTAGTGTCCTATACTTCTCCATGACTTCTACTCCTAATGTCATTTGGTAAATCAAATTGATTTACATTGTCGGCACGGGGTGTTGATGGAACTTCTTGTGAGACTTGGAATTTATTTATTTTTAATTATTTCGATTTCTAAATCTCCAAAACTACAATGTAAATTCCTTTTTTTCATCAAGAACATCAATCGAATAGAATCAAAGTGCTGTAAAGTAAAAAGTTAGTGAAAAAGTTAAGTTCCATGAACGAAAGAGAGAATACGAGATATTGATTGATGACACTAATGGTTACGAGAAGTGTAAGAAGACACGTTCGAGTGGATTCTTCCCCATATATGTTGGGGAAGAGCTTAAGAAATATTTTGAAGTACATCGTTTTATTGTCCTACCTTGAAGGCTTTGCTTGATCAATATGAAGAACTCAACCCTAGTGAGCCCATAGCACCGTGCAGAATCTCTTCCAAGAAATTGGAACAACTTACCGTTATGAAGGCGGAGAGCCAATCTTCCTCGTACCATTAAGACAAATGGAGAAAAGCAAGAAACCCTTCCCAATCATGACACCTAAACATTGCCATATTGCCCCTGTTTCACTCTTTAAATTAAATTTCTTTATTTCGTACACTCATTTTTAATCATACGTTTACACAACAAAATATTTTACAGATAAACCAAAATTTTTTCCTACTTTTTTAACCAACATTTTCCAAAATCACTATTCAAAACATCATTTCTCCCAATTTTTCTTTATAATGGCCATCAAACAAGAGCTAAATCAATTATTTTTTTCAAGCTCAATTTCGACCACACATTTACACAATAAAATGTTTTGCACGTAAATCCAAAACTTTTCCCACTTTTTAACCACATTTTTCAAAAAAAAAAAAAAAATTACTATTCAAAAACTCATTCTCACGATAAAACTCGTTAAAATGAATGTGAAATAAGGGCATAATTTTATTTTGTGGCTTCTCTATTTGATTAGACCTCCAATAGTAGTAGCATGCGATTGTTGTTGCTAGAGTACGAATTTGTCCTTTAAACAAGGGTAATTAGCACATAACGTCTTCACCTTTTACTGTTATTGTAGAAAACGTTCATACCTTTCATTTTTGACATTTTCACATTTATTTCCACCTTTCATTGTGTAAAAGATCCCCCCTTTTTTTTTTATCCATTTTCTTAATTAAAATCGTGAAATGACGAAAATACAATTTCCTTTAAATAAAACAAAAGAAAAAAGATAAAAAAAAAAAAAAACTAATTGTAAATATAGTCCCAACCTTTTTGAAAAACGCAAATGAGTACCAAATAAATTATTAAAAGGATAATTAGTATATAATGTCCCTACCTTTCACTATTATTGTGAAAAACATCTATACCTTTTATTTCTTTTGTATTTTCTCCCTTAATTATAATTTGATAGCGCAAATCATCATTTCTATCAATTTTCATCCAATTTCTCAATAAAAGACAGTGGGATGACGAATATACCCTTCTATTTAAATAAAAAAGCTAAAGAATTAATTGCAACCATAGTCCCAAATTTTTTTTAAAAAGTACAAACGAGTCCCCAATAAATTATTAAAAACATTTAATTTTTTTAATGAAAAGTGCAAACGAGTTCCAATTAAATTAATTAAAAAAATTAAAAAGTGCAAACAAATCTCAAATAAATCATTAAAGAATTAGAAATTAAAAAATATATTTTTTATTTAAATATGAGGGTATATTCATTATTTTATAGTTGTTTATTGAGAAATTGAGTGAAAATTGATGAAAATGATGATTCGCACAATCAAATGTGTAATTAAGGGTGAAAATGCCAAAGAAAATGAAAGGTATGGACGTTTTTCGCAATAAAGGTGAAAGATAGAGACATTATGAACTAATTGCCCTTTTAATAATTTATTTGGGACTCATTTGCGTTTTTTTAAAAAAATTGGGACTATGATTGTAATTAAAATTTTTTTTTCTTTTGTTTTATTTAAAGGAAATAGTATTTTCGTCATTTCACAATTTTTAATTGAGAAAATGTATGAAAATGACATTTTGCCCAATGAAAGGTGGAAATAAGGGTGAAAATGTCAAAAAATGAAAGGTATGGACGTTTTACACAATAACAATGAAATGTGGAGACGTTATGTGCTAATTATCCTTTAAAAAATTTGAAGTATCACATTGTTTCAGATTATACAAATAGGAATGAGATTAAATCACGAACAAAATGATAATTTGTGTCCACCAATTTTACAATTTCGTGAGAAGGGATAGAGGGCCTATATACCATTTTGGACTGCACACACATCGCCGGCCTAGGTCAATGAATTCTTCAAGTTGCTCTATATAAATTTATCAAAAAAGCTACTTGTACAAAAAAAATTTGACAAAAAAGTTGACACACTCTCACATGATGCTGGCCCCCACATGTATATTGAAAAAAAAATGTGGAGCCCCCCTAATGTGAGGGGCCGGTCAGGGTGTTTGTCACCCTGACCCGGTACACCAAGGGCGGTTCTAAATTTATTCATCTAATTCACTATTCAAAAACGTCATTTTTACGTCCATTTGATATATTTTCAACATGGTATTCGTTTTAGGTCGTGAAAATCATTCGACACTGAGATTAGGCCTAAAACGAATACCATGCTGGTGCAACAGTGTTGTACCAGTCTTAGATTAGCTACAGGATACAGCATGGCTTAACTATTCAGTATAAGCTGGCTCTAGCCCGGACATATTCTATTACTTCATCAACAATCAAAAGAGAGAACTATTTCGTACTGCAGAAATTATCATCAAGTTGTTCATCCAAACAAGCAGAATTACCTAAACAAACTTATATATGGTCTACTACAAGATTAATCAACTAACACGTTTTGTTGGTACCGCCTTCAAGGGTTCACGTTTTCGCGCAACGCTTCCAATCAAGTCATTCATGTCCATGGTGTCAGGATTTGTCGAGAAATCAAGTTCCCAGTTAAACTCGTGAAGCAATGAGCCTAACAGGAAGTGCGTCATGCGATGGCCTAATGGAAGACCTGGACAAATCCTTCGGCCTGCACCAAATGGAATAAACTCAAAATGTTGTCCCTTGTAATCAGTATTCGAGCCTAAAAACCTCTCCGGCTTAAAATCTGAAGGCTCCTCCCAATTTTCTTCATCTCTTCCAATGGTCCAAACGTTAACAAAAACTTGTGTATTTTTGGGTATCGAATATCCCATATAATTAGTGTCTTGAATTGCCTTTCGTGGTACGAGGAAAGGAACGGGAGGATGTAAGCGTAGTGTTTCTTTGATTACTGCTTGCAAGTAAGGAAGTTTATCGATATCACTTTCTTCGAATTTCCTGTTTGATTCTACCACACTTGAAATCTCGTTTTTAACCTTGATCATTGCTTTCGGGTTGTGTAGGAGCTCTGCCACTGCCCACTCAATAGAGGTGCTAGAAGTCTCTGAACCGGCGAAGAACATTTCCTGCATTGGAATGCAGTTGCTTAGCAATTGACAGAGAAATTATTTATGATATGAGATCAGTCAACTGTGGAAAAGAGTTCGATCAACGAAGAAGATTTGTCGAATCACCTCATCTAAAACTTCAAAGCGGGTACAATCTTGTTTTCTCAATTATGTCTCCAACGAACACGTGCACACAAAATTCACTTAATTTTTAACTAGATGTGGCTAGTTTTAATTTATAAATGATTGGTATGGAAGCTTCAACTTAGGATATAAATGTATCTTGAATCGCCTCGCCTAAAAGTTTAGGAGCAGTTCTCTTTGTGTTTCAGTTTTGTGTTTTGAGTTTTGAATTCATTTTAGATTTTGTGTTTTGAGTTTTCATTTTGAGATTGTTGAAAATGTATTCTTTTTGCCATTTTAAAAAATTGTTTTGAAAACACCCAAAATGCGTTTTGAAAATTTTGCTTGATTATAACTGAAAACACCAAAAACGACAAATGTTTTTGTAAATTTTTAACTTGTTTTCAAAAACGCGTTTTCGAAAATAGGAAAGAGAACGCATTTTCATTGTTTTGGAAAATCGAAATCAGAAAACGGCTTGAAAATGGAAAAAAGAACAGACCGTTAAGTTTTCGAATAAGGATACACACATATATGCTTTCCGTTTCAAGTTCTAATCCGAGTACTTATTCATTGATTAAATACTAACGATTAATTTTAGTGAAAATGAAAATAGAAATATACCAGTGTAAATATGTTTATCTCCAGTTCTGATAATTTATCAGGTTCATTCTTGCTTCCTTCAAATTCGAGCAACACGTCCAAGAAGTCATTCCTCTTTGGTCCGCCTGCCTTGCATTCTTCTATACGCTCCTTGACAAATTTTGCAGCAATAGCTATTGCTTTCCCCAGATCACGGTCCATTTTTCTTCTTAGACCTTGCAGATCGAGCCACCTAAGCCAAGTGAATAAATCTGAAATATTTGGATGGCCACCCCACTCCATTACTCCCTTCATGGCTTCAAAGAATTCTGAAGCTTCTTTCGACTCTGGATCCACTAAATCTCGGGACAACATCAGATTCCCGATCATGTTAAACGATGCCAAGAAAACATATCGTGCCACCTGAATACCATTCTTCCTTCCTTCCACAGAGTTGGCTTCTTTTTCTATCCACAAGAGCATATTGTCAATGCACTTTCTCCTTACAGATACGGTTTCATTGATTCTCTTGTTAACAAACATTTCCACAGTGCAGAGCCGCCTCATCACGCGCCAATAGACGCCATATGGAGCCAACGCCAAGGAACCCTTGTGGTAATCCTTGGACCTCATGGTGTCAATAACGTTGCGGTCGATGAATGAGAGATCATGGTTCTTGAAAAATTCGTTGGCTACATCTGCAGATTGTATAACCATTGTGTTGACTGAACCAATCTTTAACCACACAACAGGGCCATACTTTTGTTTGAGTCCGGCTATGGTTCTATGGGGTGCAGTTCCAAGTTGGAACATGTGACCAAATAATGGCCATCCAGGTGGTCCTGGAGGTAGCCTGTTGTAATTTGGCCTTCTTTTGTAGAATATGAAGAACAAAATTGGTAAAAAGATGGTGCTGGAATAAACAAGGAAACTCCACTCCATCTCTACAGAACTCAAACTCATCTTCTTTCTTAGCCTAATGT